TTTTTCATGTTTGTTGATTCCTTATATTTCTTCTTCTGTCCAGTTCCTTAGCTCACTTATTGATTGGATTATTTGTGGGGGTTTTTTGGTGTTTTGAGTTTTTTTTTAATATATATATCTTGGAGATAAATGCTCTGAGATGCATGTGGTAAAGATTTTCTCCCATTCTGTGGGCTCTCCCTGTTATTGGTTGTTTCCTTTGCTGAGAAGAAGCTCTTTAGTTTGAATCCATTCCATTTATTGATTCTTAGTTTTACTTCCTGTGCTTTAAGGAGTCTTATTAAGGAAGTCAGGTCCTAAGCCAACATGACAAAGATCTAGGCCTACTTTTTCTTCTATTAGGATCAGGGTCTCTCTGTTCTAGTGCCTAAATCTTTGATATACTTTGAGTTGATTTTTGTGCAGGGTGAGATATAGAGGTTTAATTTCATCTTGCTACACATGGATTTTTCAGTTTTCCCAGAACCATTTGTTGAACAGGCCATCTTTTCTCCAATGTATGTTTTTGGCATCTTTGTCTAGTATGAGATAACCATTTTCATGTGGGTTTGTCTCTGTCTTCTATTTTGTACCAGTGATCTACGTATCTGTTTTGGTGCCAATACCATGCTGTTTTTGTTACTATTGAAGTGGATTCCTATTGCTGTCAATGACGTAGTAAGTCATTTCTTCTCTGTCCTGTTTTCTGATAATCTCCCCTGGACAGTCTCTTCAGGAATGTGAATTCTGCCTTCTGTCAGCTGTTCCCATGGTTGGAGTCCTGTTATGTGTCGTCACAACTGCCGGAGCTGCTTTTTCCTTTTTTCATTTATTTTATGTGGAGCTGCCTTCATAATTTGTAACTTCCCATCRTTTCTTGCAAGGCATTTGGGGTCCTTATGTTTACTATACCTCCAAAAGCCTGATTTAATTTAAAATTTGGGGAATTAGATATGCTGTTGATTCCCTGCCTTCTTATACTCTGTTCCATCACCCGTCTCTCCCCAGGTCAATTTCAAGTTTAGGATATGGTGTGAGTTTATACATTGTCACATGCTCATCAATGGTTTCTGAAAAGCATTACTTTTTGTACCATTTTAAACACACTGAATACCATGGTTGTGACTTATTAGTTACAAGTAACTACCGTGAGCTTGCCTTCACTTGCCGTTTCTCAGTACGATCATAAGAAATGTTAAGCTGAGAAACAAGTTTACTTAAGTAGTTTTGGGTTCTGAATTGAGATGTTACAGAATATTGGCAGTGAAAGCTCTGGGCAAGCCCAGTACTGAGAAGTGGAAAAGAAAGGCGGGCTTGCCTCCGTGCCTTTGCAGTAAAGATTGGGCTGACTCACAAAATCATGCCTGCCAGAACCTGTACGTGGCTCCTTGGGTTTTGCTGGAGTAGCTGCCTGGAGAATGCATTTATACAAAGGGTTTGGAGGATTGTGTGCAACCTTTAAGAGAAAACTGGTAATGTAAAATGTGGTTAAATCTACGTGATAGTTCAAAGAGTTATTTTACCTGAGCAATTTGGTTTCTTTTGAACAATGCCAAAGTAAGCTGTATCATGCCATATGCTTTGAAATAACTGCTTTGCCTTGGAATTTGGAAATGAAATTAGTCTTTGGCCAGTTAAAACACATAAGGTTTAATTTATTTTCATAAGGAAAAAAATAGCATATTCATTTTAGTCTGAACAGATTTTTTTAATCAATAAAATAAAACAATATTGGGTTCTGAAACTTAGATTTAACTCCATCCATCAGGTTCCTAACCTTTGTGTCGTGTGTTGGCCAGAGCAAGGGGAATCTCGTGTCAGATGGAGAGGACTCTGTGTCCCAGCTCCAGCATCTGCCAACTTCATGATCTTGGGCAGGTTAAGTGACCACTTTCCTTATCTTTAGTCTGTGAGGGGATGGTCACAGCACCACGGAGTTGCATGTGGAGGTTGTGCCTGTGAAGGTCCCTTGTCATGGCTACATGGCACTGTTAATGACCCACCAGAGGGGCTGCTGCTCACTCAGCCAGCTCTTGAGGGCACCTGCCAAGTCCCAGACATAGAGAATGTGAAGGTAAAAGTGAGTTGATCTTGCCCCAGAAAAATTTATGGAGAAGGAGAAGGCAGGACCCTTGGTCCTTCTTTCTCGTGACCTGGATTTTATTGGGATGAGGGGACCAGAGCCAAGAGATTTCAATTCTTACTAACTGGGTGCAAAGGTGCTTGCCTAGGAGTGCTGTAATTCTCTCCTCATCGACAGGTTCAAGGACATKCTTAGCCTCACATATAATTGCTTGTGGGACAAGCAGGGTACTTTGTTACTCATTCCTTTAAAGTTGTTCTTTGTCTCTAAAAATCCTTCACAATCATTTTTGTCTATTAGCAAGACTTAATTATGAGTTGGTTGTGATTTTTAAGAATTTTTTTAAAATTTAGATCTGACACGTCTCTTATCAAAAACTTTGAAAAATACCTTTTCTCACTCCTGTCCTACCCACTAACAGTATGTTACTTTATGTTGAGTTACCTGTCTTTGGTGATGTCTTCAACTTTGGTATCCAGAAGATTTCAGGTTATTGTGGTTGGATCTGCACACATTGACAATTTACCTTTGTCTGCTGATTGTCATGGGAGACATTATTAATTATTAATTATTTATTATTATTATTATTATTATTATTATGTAGTACTGAGGATTGAATCCAGGGCCTCACATGTGCTAGGCAAACATTCTAAGTAAATTACACTTTCAAAACTTAATGAAGTGAAATACCAAGTAAATAAATCCCACCTACATCTTAAATAAATGATAGATTTCATTGGACCCTACTGGTATATCATATCTTTTTGAGTGTTCTTTGTAGATTGTACTTTTCCCAATTTTCCTTCCAGGGTCACTGTCCCTCCTCTTTAGGCCCTGAATAACTATTGTACCTGCACTTACTTATATTTTATCATTGTCTACGTTATTCTCTGAGGGAGAAATTTCCAGAATCTAGGGCAGCATTTTAATGGTGCTTATTATTCCTCAAGAGCAAAATGGAGCTAGAAGCCAGTACTTTCTCATATGAACTAATTCAAAGCAAGAAGTTAAGGGATTTGTAATCCACTACTTGCAACAGAAGTGTAGTGAAATTACATGATCATTGATGTTACAGTAAATTGAGACAAACTGGTTTTATGCAAAACAAACCTAGTGACTAAGAAACAAAGAAATCCATTTATACAGTTTTGTTGGTGATTAATATTGAATATACTTTGTCAGTTGTTTTTCTATACCTTATACCTTTTCCTAAAGACATGTATTTCATCTTTAATTTTGTGTGTCCCCCAGCCAAGCTACCACTTAGTGGCAAACCTGTTGAGTAACTCTTGCACATGATTATGATTGCTCACTGCCAAATTCTGTGACTGAAGGCTGTTTTTTTTTTTCTAGGCTTGCTAAAATATGAATTTAGCTTCTATTTGATAAATATTGAGTAAGATCTACATTTACAAGTAGCTAGCAGTTTCATCTTATTTAGAAACTTATCACAGGGTGTTTCAGTATATTTGTTGGTGAAAGTAGTTCCTTGGCAGAATTATCACATTGCATGTAGGCGGTCATTTATGAAAGAGCCAAGTTTTATCACTTATTTTCATTAGCAAACACAGTGATTTTTTTTTAAACCAAGGTTTCCCAAAATAATCATGCCTGCTTCTTTCAGTGGCAGTGGTTTCATAGTAAAAATCATTGTTTGGATCATTGAAGAGGTATTTTTAGACATACTGCACGACTTTTACTTCTAATGTAATTTATTTTTTGGAACATAAGTGATACTTAAGCAGATTTTCTTTTCTTTTTTTTTCAGTTTATGTGTAACATTTCCTCAAATAGTCATGCTCATAAAATTCAGGGGAAGTGGGAGGGAGTAATTACTGATATTTGGGCATTTCCATGGGAGACTTTGGGGAGGTGTTAAAATTTAAGAAATCATGTTCAGGTTAGAAAATGTTTGATTTTAATATTAAATTGTGTTATAAGCTGGAATGCCTAGAAATGCGTATTAATACACACTTGAGGAAATGAACTTACTTTTTTCCCCTGACTGATAGCAGTAAGGTTAAAACATACTCTCTGGATATCAGTAGTATTCCTACTCTTCCTATTGATTAGTGTTCAAGAAGACAAGAGAGAACAAATTTTTAAATGTGAAAAAAGTTCAATATTAATAACATCCCCTTGACAAAAATGTAAGAGAACCAGTAATAATTGACTTGATAGTTTCATATACCTTACTGTGTTTTTATTTCTTATTTGTCTATTTTATTTTGTGGTTCAGTGAATCACTCCCAGGGGCAGTTTACTCCAGTGTTACATCCCCAGCCCTTTCTATTTTGAGACATGGTCTCACTAAGTTGCCAATGTTGGCCTCGAACTTGTGATCTCCTGCCTCACTCTCCCAGTCACTGGAGTGCACCACTACATGCAATTGTATTTAATTCTTATATAACACCTTTTATAGATCTGCTTGTTTGCTTTACAAATACCATTCAGCATTAACTTATGTAAAGATTAATCATTTATTCCATGTTCAATTAGAGACTGTAGAATAATTTGAGAGTATTCTGTATATTTTTTCTTCTTCCTTTTCTTTTTCAGTTTATTTGTATTGTTTGCATGTTGTTAAATATTTGCATGTTGCCAAATATTTTTCTAGAACCTATCCTCACTGATTAGGAGTTGGATTTTGTATTTCAGGGCTGGCTACAAATCCCTGTGTATGGTAGTCTGTTTTAGTGTTCAGAAAGAACATGTGAAAGGCTGGGTTTTGAGGTGGTGAGAGGCTTGAACTAACCTGGTGTCTGTGTCAAATTGTAAAACTTCCACTTCCAGGAAAACAAAGCATTTGATAAATAAAGAAACTTATTCCTATTTTGCTCCTCTTTGGTAACACTAGCTATATTTTCCATTTATATGCTAAAAAAAAAAGTGGTTAGACATTATCTAAAATTCTGGACTCTGTCCCTGCCTCTTCCAGCATGCTTGAAGATGACCTTCAGCTCAGTGACAGTGAGGACAGTGACAATGAACAAGTAAGTTTTATATACTCCATGGAGCCAAGAATCCTTTTAAATCTATCTACATATCTATCTGAGCTGTGTCCTAACCTGTTTTTGTTCTTTCCTGGTCCTTCTTCCCCTTGTTGTGAATGCCTAGACCCCAGAGAAGCCTCCTTCCTCATCTGCACCTCCAAGGTACTGTCTGCGGGTTTCTTCCTATTTTGTATTTTTACCAAGTTGAAAAAATAAAGCCCTGCCTTAATATTGTCATACAAGGGGAAGGAGACGGAGGATCACAGTTACAGGAGAGTGCCAGTTTAGTATTTTGGAAGGTTAAACCTGCCCCAGGGAGGTTATTAGAACTATATAAGTGAAAGATTTCTGGCTGCACTTACATCATCAGTTTGGAAATAAAACATTTTTGGAATTTAAAAATTTTAAAGTTTATCCTCAGTAATGTATAACCAGTATTTGCAAAAAGTAGACTAGAGAGCCCAAAGTTTTTATGAAGGTGACAGCTTTACTTTGCTTTCAAAATTTATAAAGCTAAATATTTTTCTAGAACTTGTTTTCTGCTCTGCCTGTTTCCTTAGTTTTGTGAATTCTGAAATTGTTTCAGTTGCTTTATAAAAATGACCTACAGTTCATTTTCATGTGATGGAAAATGGCACTGTTTTTGTAAATAAGCCAGCCATCTTTTAGAAAATGTGGTGCTTTAATTTCTGGAAATGAGAACTATTTGAACTTTCCTTACAATATTTCCTACCTGCTTTAATATGACAAATATGTGTCTTTCAAGGACAAAGATTTAAATTATTTTATTCCCTGGAGATGTGCACAGGCATTGTGACAAGGTTAGCAATAAAAACTTGGCTATCACAGAGGTGATGTGTAGTTAGTGTGGAGGAAGGCCATGTAATTATATAGTCTTATAGGTTTAAAAGGTTTACTTGTTTATTATCAAATTTTGTTGGAATTTCTAGAGGGTCTTGTCAACTCATAAAACATGAAAAAGTAGTCTAACCAAAAAATAGAGGTAAAGGACAAAGAAAAAGCACAAGGTGGGAGTCAGTTAGAGGCAGGAGCACTGATTAAAGGCATGTCCCACTCTGATGCCACTGACTTGAGCTGAGCAGCCGCTAGTGTGGAAAGGGCCTTAAAGTTAACCCAGCATTTTATATGAGATTAGGTAGTATTACTGTGTATTTTAAAATTATCTTTACTAGTGATTTTAATTATTTAATAATTTTCATTCTAATATTTTATGTTACTTAAAATTTTATTTTCAAATATTTTAGGTAGATTTGGAAGTGTTCAGAATTATAATCAATGATCACTATATTACCCATGCTTAGAAATTCTACCTGTATCTCACAGTATGCTCAGTGTTTTCTCATTGACTTAAGTTATTACTCAGTTGTTAAAACTGGAGTAATTTTCTCAAGCCACTTATAAAGAATGGCTCATTTTTTAATTCTGTCTAGGAAGCATGAGAATGTAATTTCTGAGCTCACCCTCCAAAGGAACACCATTTTTATTCAGTCGTCTTTGGTTACCATATAGCTAGTTCTCGTACAGAGCATATAGGAAGACTTTAACTTATTAGTTTTTCTTTTACAAACTTTTTGTTTGTTTGTTTGTTTTCTACATCAGGGGCCAGCAAACTTAAAGGGCCAGTTAGTAAATAGTTTAGCCTTTGTGGGCCACGAAAGTTTCTGTTGTAACTACTGCACCCTGCTGTTATGACCTGAAAGCAGCCACAGTTCTTTTTTTTTTTTTTTTTTTAAATATTTATTTATTTATTTATTTTAGTTCTCGGCGGACACAACATCTTTGTTGGTATGTGGTGCTGAGGATCGAACCCGGGCCGCACGCATGCCAGGCGAGCGCGCTACCGCTTGAGCCACATCCCCAGCCCCAGCCACAGTTCTTAAGACAACGGGTGTGGGTGTGTTCTAATAAAACTTAGAAAACAGGCAGCCAGCCCAGGCCATGGTTTACCAACCTTTGACATCCAGCACCCAGTATCTGACTTAGCTTTTGTATAGCTTGACATGTTCTAAAGAAGTAAAACTCCAGACTTCTCTTCTGTGCAGTTGTCTGGTGAACTGTTTTAAGGGCTTTTCAGACCATTGTGGGCCCCTCTCTCAACTGAGTGATTAGATAATACTGAGCCCTTCCCAATAGCAGAAAAATGGGCAGGGGGTAAAGAGGGAAGAAATTCGACTTGCATGGTGCCTTCTAATTTTATCCTTTGGTTGCTTTGCAGTGCTCCACAGTCGCTTCCAGAACCAGTGGCATCAGCACATTCCAGTAGTGCAGAGTCCGAGAGCACCAGTGACTCAGACAGCTCCTCAGACTCGGAGACTGAGAGCAGTTCAAGTGACAGCGAGGAGAATGAGCCCCTAGAAACCCCAGCTCCTGAGGTACCGTGACCCCTCAAGAAGGCCATTCAAGATGGCAGCGTTCTGTCTTTTAGAGCTGGAGTCAGTGTGGCACTGACCCAGGACGGAGCAGTTCTGCCCCATGGGCAATGCTTTCCTGCTCCTCTGCCATGTAGAACCATCTGTTTCTGTTTACGTGCTTCTTACCAAATACTTGGCAATGGAGGTTTGGGAGAGATGTTTTCTCTCGCCTGGTTAAAATGATACGTTCTTCTCTGTCATTGCTAGTGTTGTTTTTAAGAGCAGCTCATTAAGAATGTTTGCACACCATTTTATTTTCCCTCCTTTTGAGAAGGAAACTTGTTTTCAGTAGGCTGCTGTTTTAATATTAATGAGAATTCTTTTTGAAATTTCAGGAATGCCTGAATTAAGGAAAGCAAAAGGAGACCTCCTGATTTAGCAAAGGGCAGGAACGTAGAAATAAGTCATCAGTTCTATTTTTGAATCACTAAAAGCYGTGCATTAAATTGATGGCAAAGTGATTTTGCCAGGGCTCTGGTTCTTGTTCCCTTCGGCCCCATATAAAACAGATAACTGTGTGTGCTTGTCACCTACCCTCAGGAGATACTGTAAAGGTGAACAAACTGATGAGACTGAAAATCTCAAGCACTAAATTTATCTAGAGGATTAATGCTATGTACTAGACGGTTGAGTATAAGAAATTGTTATTAGCAACTAACAACGTTGCCAAAAACCTTCAAACCTTGGGTAGGAATGTAAAAATTATGCCGAAGGAAGGTAGTAATGAAAAGGGAAAGACATACTTACTTTTGGTGAATAAGACCAGCCCACATAGAGAAAACTGTCTGCATATTTAAGGTGAAAATACCAGGAAATGAGACTTTCTGATTAGGAAAGTTAAAAATTTTCTCTATTCATCTCTTCTGCTTAGATGAGAGGTAGTTCTGTTACAGCATTAACCAAATACAACTAGAGATCATATAGTGAGATGTAAACATGGGCTTGTCTGAGATCAAGGGAGGCTAAGAAAATAACAGGGTGGCATTTTTTGTTAAATGTTAATCTTTGGCCCAGAATAAATGCTCAGGTTTTTTTTTTTTTTTTGGAGTGCATGAAAGTGGATCAGCATTAATTGCACTTAAAACACCTTTCAGATTTCAGAAACTTCTCTGTGTTTCTAGGGCTCTTTGTTTTCTTGTGTGATAATAATTGCTATTGAAATAATTTTCTATGCCTCCAAGAAAAGGATGCTGAATATGCTATGTAGACAGATAGTGTGATGTTCATTGTTAATAAGATCTTTGCTGTATGTTTCATTTCAGTAAGAAAAATTTGTATGCTTGTTAGATTATTGATATAAAGAAGCTAATTCAATTAAATGAAATCAAAATAGTACAGCTTTGGTTGGATAATTGAAACTTAAAAAAGATTTGATCTGATGTTTCTACTATTGAGATGTGTGTCTCAGTACTCAAGAAGTTATTGGAATTATGTTAATTGAAATTTCTTAACTGAAAAATAAGTGTTCCATCCTGCTTCATGTACATATATATATATGAAATATAAATATAAATATATATATGTGTGTGTGTGTGTGTGTGTGTATATATATATATATATATATAGTAGTTGTCAATACCTTTATTTTATTTATTTATTTTTTATGTGGTACTGAGGATTGAACCTGGGGCCTCTCACGTGCTAGGCAAGTGCTCTACTACTAAGCCACAATCTCAGCCCTTCTGCTTCATTTTTTAAAATCACTTTACTAATAGACTTGTATTTGTACATATGTATTGATATGCAAATCCAGGCTTGTGGAGAGTTTGTATGTTATGTACTAAGTTTCATCTTCCCATGAATGTTTTCTTGGTTTACCTTTAATTTTCACTAAGGTATTTAACTCCTTTTTTTCCCCTTTTGGAAACAAATTTCTGTTTTAGTTGAAGGTAATGAGAATTCCATAATCAGCAATAGATACTAGTTTTACTTTCTCATCCACTTCTATTTTTAATGCTGGAAAACTTGGTAGTTATGGCTCCATTTTCATTCATTTCATATGACGAAATAGTTCCAGTGATTTAGGAGATCTGGAGCATTGCATGCATGCCAGTGGGCCGCTGCTGAACTTGGGAACCAGCCACTGTGGATTCCATTTCAGTATCTGCTTTATACTGGGAATCAAAATACAAATCTCAAGTTTTCAGAATATGTAGGACACATTGCCTTTCTGCTACTTATGAAAAATTCAGAAAACATGATTCCATCTGGGTTATTCAGGAATCTACTTCATTTCTTACTCTGTTCATTGTCTAGTCCCTTGGTAGTAAAGGACTTTGTGTTGATTGCCTCCTGCACTCTTGAAGCTTTGTCATAAAATGATTTAACTCTTACCACCTCCATCAGCTCTGTAAGGTTAGCAGTTTTTGTTTTGCCTACAAAGAAGTAGTGGCACTGAAATTCAGACCTATGGTCATTTAACTCTAAAATGTGATTCCCACCCCGCTTAATGTGCCTATTTTTTCGTCTTCTTTGCTATACCTACATTTATTGTAACTCTGCTGTGTCAGTTGAGAGTACCATGAATTCCATGTCAGCCATAGATAACTTTCTCTTCCTTTTGAAATTTATTATATTTTCATTTAAAATTTGTGCATATATTCTCCATACCTATGAACTTATTATTTAAAAGGTAGGTACATATTGCACTTAACTCAAAACCTTTTATTCAGAACCACAATTCATTCTGAAATACACTAATTGACAATTTAAGAGGTTAGGAGAAATAAAAGGACATGTGACCAGACATTTATTAAAACACCTAAAATTTAATCATGTACTTTTTTCCTACTTCCGGTATACAGTCTTTGGGTTGTACCAGCACTTGGCATATAGAAGGGAAATGAGGAAAATCAGAGAAATAAAAGCCTTGCTCCTACCTGGCACTTATCTACTTAAAAATTATTTTACACCTATTTTTAAAATCAATCCCTTATGCAAACTTTTCCCTCTTCCCGGTAACCAAATAATATATCTGACCTTAAAGGGATCTTGTATCCATTTTATAACTTCATATTAAATACACAAAACAATTTTCTCCTTTCTTTCCCTGTGTCTGGGCATACTAACTTAGTTTTGCCATGAAAATGGGCCATAGTCTTCACTTCTGGACATTGAGGACTGTAGTGGAAGTCAATGTGTTATTTTGGTAACCAGGACATTCCTTTAGGGACTACCAAGGTATCTAAATACCTCCCTATTTGGGGGTTGGGGGAGCAGACGTGCCTTACATCAGGAATGATGTCCCTTTGGGTTCACACATAAATACTCTTTTAAGGAACATGTCAGTGATTGGCTGCAGTTATAAACAAAGCTTGTGGTGAGATAGCTCTCCTGAGGAATGATGGGCAGGGTTCTGTACCTGATGCTATTGGCATGTGCTATATCTTATTGCCTTGTCTGGTCAGTTAACCACTAGAGCTATTACACTCCCAGGTCTTTGCAGGAAATCATGCTTGACAAGTTGGTATTGTGCTGATATTTTCTCTACCCTTAACAATCATCTTGCTCTGTTAGAATATTGATTACAAATTTAGATTTACATGTGACAAAATGCCTTGCATGTTACAGTGGTTTTCTTCTTCCCTTTCTCCCTACCCTGAAATTCAAAGGAGAGGATGGATATAAAGTTGCTGGAATTATAGGAAGCTGTCAAGGAGATATGTGATCATAAGCCTCAGTACTGGGGGAGCAGACAGAGAGGAATTTATGCAGTCATCTTTCTGTCCAAAGTATAATCCTAACTAGTTTCTTAAAATTTCTTTTAGTTTTATTCTATTACAGACACACTAAACCCAAACTATCTAACATTTCCCTGGCCCAAAGCCATTATATTATATTCGTAATTTTGCATTGTTAGATTTACATATTTTTGCAGAGTTGAATTATTTAGTATATTTTACTTGGAAAATTGGCAATCATTCCCTTAAAAATCTTCCATGTTGGGGCTGGGAGTGTAGCTCAGTGGTAGAGCACTTGCGTAGTATTTAGGAAGCCTTGGGTTTGATCCCCAGCATTGCAAAACAAAAGTTCCTCCACCTGCCGGAGTGTTCTCCCTTATCTATAATCCTTAAGGCAAATCCTACGTGGACTGTCTTTCCACTTCCTGGTGCTTTGTATATACGATTTAGTTATTCATATAAATCATCTGAGAGAATGGATCTTAAGAAAAACATGTAACAAGCCTGTGATATATGGCCCTTTATCATTGCTCACTCTATTGGATGTGATATGTTTTTATATGATATAAAACTTCGTATGCCTAGGAATACTCAGATATTTTATGTGTATATTCCTGTATCTAAGACACACAGAATTGGAAAGTGGAAATGCAAGAATCTTTTGTTATTCTGTTAAGATCTTATAGTCTAGGTAGAAAGATGTGGTGGTAAGCATCAATAGTTAATTCAGCCACAGTGGTTTTAATTAAAATTACTTAGGAACTTCTGCTGATTTGCCAAATCAGTTGTACAGGCAATCAGTATAACCCCATTGCTCCTACCTGTGTCTTAGAAATACTGGTGCTATTTTAGTCCAGGTTGCCTCAAACAAGAGACTTAATGTCTAACTTTTAAGGAACCTAGGTCAGAGGTTTGGCTAATGTAACTTCACTTGATTATTTTTATTAAAGTATAAAATTTAAAAACAGTATGTATCTGTGATACACTGATAGCTTTATTACATGTAATTTTTTTTATTTTAAAAAATTTATTTTAGTTGTAATGGACACAATACCTTTATTTTGTTTATCTTTTTGTGGTGTCGAGGATCCAACCTAGTGCCTCATGCATGCTAAGCAGGTGCTCTACCATTGAGTCACAATCCCGCCCTTAAATATTTGTTTTTTAAGTAAATAAGAAAAATGTTGAAGAAAAGTCATTTTCAGTTGAAAAGCATGCCAAAACAAAATATGTATGTATGTATGTATTTATTTTTTAAAAGTGGAAAGCATGCCAAAGAAAGGATAAAGCATGACTCTCGTGGGTAATCACTTAACTCAGTTCATGTATTAGCTGCCTTCTAAAAATTCTTTATAAAGGGAGTCTTTTTATTCCTCGTTCTATTTTTTATTCTCTCATAGAGTAGCCTCCAAGTCAAGACATGTCAGTTCTCTTTAAATTATAGCATAATTCCCATTGGAACCAAAGATTTATGTTACAAAGATTTCTCAGCAGTTGTCAATAACCTATTAGTCAGTATCTACCATAACAAAATCCCCAAATCACAAAAATATTGAAGATTTTTAAAGATTTGTTATAGAGTTCAACTTACAATTTGAGAAGGATAAATAGAATCTAAATTCTTAGACTTGGCATGATTGCCTCTCCTGGGATAGACCTGTTTAATTGGGTGACTATCACAAAAGAATAGTTTGTCATCAATGGTCAGCTAACACTTTTCTTTATTTCCTTATTTTCAGCCTGAACCTCCAACAACAAACAAATGGCAGTTGGACAACTGGCTGACCAAAGTCAGTCAGCCTGTGGTGCCTGCCGAGGCCCTGGGGAACACAGAGCTGCCCCGTCGGCGCCAGGAAAGCAAGGGTGGCAGCGAGAGCACCGCAAGTCAGGAGCATTCTGAGTCCAAAGACCCTCCCCCGAAGAGCTCCAGCAAAGCCCCCCGGGTCCCTTCTGAAGGCCCCCACCCTGGAAAGAGAACCTGTCAGAAGTCCCCTGCACAACAGGAACCCCCACCTAGGCAAACTGTTGGAACCAAACAACCCAAAAAACCTGTCAAGGCCTCTGCCCAGGCCGATTCTCGGGCCAGCTTGCAGGTGGAAAGTGAGCCAGGACTTCTTCCCTATGGCTCAAAGGACCAGACCTCCAAAGATAAGCCCAAGGTGAAGACGAAAGGCAGGCCCCGGGCTGGGGGCAGCAGAGAGCCCAAGCCTGCAGTGCCGGTCCCCAGTGAGAAGAAGAAGCACAAGAGCTCCCCCGCACCCCCCTCCAAGGCGCTCTCAGGCCCAGAACCCACGAAGGACAGTGTGGGAGACCGGAGCCCTGAGCACTTTGCTCTTGTCCCCCTGACTCAGAGCCAGGGCCCGCCCCATAGTGGTGGTGGTGGCAGGACTAGCGGCTGCAGGCAAGCAGTGGTGGTCCAGGAGGACAGCCGCAAAGACAGACTCCCATTGCCTTTGAGAGACACCAAGTTGCTCTCACCGCTCAGGGACACTCCCACCCCACAGAGTTTGATGGTGAAGATAACCCTAGATCTTCTCACTCGGATTCCCCAGCCACCAGGGAGGGGAAGCCGCCCAAAGAAACAGGAAGATAAACAGCTGCCTGTAGGGAAGAAGCAGGACTCTGAGAAGAGAAGCTCAGACAACTCCAGCAAGTTGGCCAAAAAGAGAAAGGTGAGTAAGGGAGACAGGCCTCCTGTGACACTGTGGGGTGGCCCTGGTGCAGGGCTGGGGCCTGGGGGAACTTTAGGGCTCTCAGTTAACACTGGGGTTTTACCACTTGGCCCATTAGATTTTGCCCTAGAAATTAAGATCTTACATAAATTGAAAGGTTAATCAGTATTCTGAATTACTGAAATAACTGCTCTGTACAAGTTTTATTCTTATAGGATGAACTTTTTAATACCAACATTACATCCATAGTTTATCTCCTGACTCCTCACTAGAGCTGTTAAACGTATGATCAGGATAGCTCGTTGAGTAACATAGGTTTCTGGGTACATTGCAAAGTACTGGACATCTTTCTTTTTTTTTTAATATTTATTTTTCAGTTTTCAGTGGACACAACATCTTTGTTTTATTTTATGTGGTGCTGAGGATTGAACCCAGCGCCCCGTGCATGCCAGGCGAGCGCGTTACCGCTTGAGCCACATCCCCAGCCCACTCCCCCCCCTTTTATTTTTTTAGTGGTGCTGGGGATTGAACCCAGGGCCTTGTGCATTCGAGGCAAGCACTTTGCTAACTGAGCTGTATCCCCAGTCCCCTACTGGACATCTTTCATTATGATTTTTGGAAATTTCGTTTGACACAGTAAAGGAAAGGAGGAAATCCCTGCATTATTTGAGACCCTCTTACTTGGACACACCACTGTTTGCGTAGTTGTCCTTTCTTCACTTTTAGTTACTGAGCTCTGGACCTATTTATTATTTGCTTCTTTGAGTTGATGAAAGATGAGCGCTTTCCCAGTGGTGTTCCCCACACCAGCCTGCTCGGGATCCCAAGACAAAGGCGCAAGAAGGGCCAGCTCTCTCCTGCTGAGAAGGAATAACATTTTTAACACTCTTATAAGCACATGAAAAATGTCTTACTCAGCTGTGGAACTTGAGCTAAGAATAACAGAGGGGGAAAAAAAAATCATGAAGCCTGCTGTCATGTCTGAGATCCGACTGATTAATCCACTAGCTAAAAATAAAACACAACTTTAACAAACAGCAAAGGGCAACTGTTATCTCTAGAACCTGCTTGCATGGGATGTGAGAGTGTGCACTGCTACCACTGCATTAGCTACAGGTCAAGTGAGCTGGCATCAGGTGCTCATTGGTGGTGCTGTTTCAGTTAGAATAGAGCATATTTTCATGCCAAAATGCTTCCAGAATGTTAAAAAATGTAGTGTGTGTGTGTGCATGTGTATACATGTGCAAAGTGTAAAACTTTCAGAAGGAAATTGTCATGGACCTGCTTAGGAAAAAAGGTGCTTTCATCTAATGTTCTTGAGAAAGACTCATGCACTCATTTACCTCCTCCTCCAGGGAAGTCTTTCATCTCCTGTGCCCTCTGGCTACTATGGTTTTGTACGGTCTCCAGTGCTAACCCGTTGCATTTGCTGGAGTGAGGAGAAGCATTCACCTCCATAGCGCTGACTCACTAAGTGGAAATGTTAGATATTGGAGGTTCTCTCACAATTCTTAGCCTTCTCCATCACCCAGTGCAAATCTAGAAGCATTGCTTGTGACTCCAGAAAAACTTCAAACTCTCCCTGTTGGCTATCAGACCTGTGCCCTCAGGTTTTGGCTGAGCTCCTCTAGGGCAGCTCATTTATCTTTCTATTTAGAGCATAGAGAAGTAATGATCCCTCATTTTAATCGAGTGCATGATTTCTTTAAAGCTCTGGCAAGCAGCTGAGAGATCTGGCCTGGAACAGTCTGTCTGTCTTAGTTATTGACAGGGTGGAGGTCTGACCCCTTGCTTCCCAACCCTGGCTACATTACAGTCACCTGGGAAGACCTTGGCAATGATGGCAGGGTGCCCATCCCCACTGATATTTTTGAAATTCCTTAGGTAATCCTAACGCCTAGCAGGGCTTGGAACTACTAGAGCAGTGCTTGACCGCAGTGCGTCAGATCATGCAAACTACCTCTGTGGGCTGAGAAATTCATCAGGTGTGCTGCATTTAGACAGCTCAGATCTGGGCAGCTGGGAACTTGCCTGAAGTATGTCATTAGTTAGTGACTGACTTAGGCGCTCTCAGATGAATAAGTATAATCAACCCTATACTTATCTCCTGAGCATGTGTCCTTTGTTGTTTTGTTTTACTTCCTGCTGGGCTGGGTTATATGTGGGAGGTATTGGACATGTTATATTCATATCCCGTCCTTCCTTGTGTGGGACTGGCTGTCCCCTTCTCCAATACCCTGTTTGTTCAGTGCTTCCTGAATCCAGCCCTGCAGAGCACAGGCATTCCAGGAGGCAGCTTGGCATGGGGGCCTGGATCCTATGGGAGAGGAAAGGCTGTCTGCCTTTTTAACGCTTGGGTATTTCCCCCTAAATATGGATTGTGGAGACTTTTTTTTTTTTTCATTTTAAGTGTGAACACTTTGAAAAGCTCTCTGAAGATATAGTCAGAGCCACTGAAGAATATGCCCGATCCTTCACATAAGTAGAATTTACAGCTTTTCTTTGAAAGCCCATTAGAGCCTATTTCTCTTCTGGAGCAAAATTTAGCAAATATCTCCTGAGGGTTCACAGGTTCTTATAACTATTTTAGACTTAAGCACATATAAAGAAGAAGGTCATAAAGAGTAGATGGTAGGGGCTGGGGATATAGGTCAGTGGCAGAGCACTTGCCTAGTATTTGTAAGGCCCTGGCTTTGCTCCCTAGCACTACCAAAATGACCCCCACCAAAAAAAGTTAATAATGGTTAACAGCTATGATGAAGCCATCAAATGTAGCACTTGTGAAAAGGTACCCCCTTTTCTGTCTACTTTAAAGGGGAGGGTAAGGAATCATTCTTGAGGAAACATGAAGAAATTTTGAGGGAGAATAGGTATGAACTCCATACATAACTGTTGAGTCTTATCAATCTGATTGCACTTTAGAATTTAAAATAGCACCTATGTTATTTTATACAATTCTTTATTTTTTCAACTTGTTCTAATAAGTTATACATGACAGTAGAATGCATTTTGACGCATTGTACATAAATGGAGCACAACTTCTCATTCCTCTGGATATACATGGTGCAGTCACAGGWGTGGTGCAATCATCCATGTATATAGGATAATAATGTGGGTCTCGTTCTACCATCCTTCCCATCCCTACAGCCCCACCCTTCTCCTCACTCCCCTCGCACAATCCAAAGTTCCTTCAGTCTTCCCTACCCCTAATTATGGATAGCATCTGCTTATCAGCCTTTGGTTTGGGATTGGCTTATTTCACTTGGTATGATATTCTCTAGTTCTATCCGTTTACCTGTAAATTACATAATTTCATTCTTCTTTAAGGCTGAATAATATTCCATTGTGTATACATACCACATTTTTTGTGTGTGTGTTTGTGTGTGGTGCTGGGGATTGAACCCAGGGCCTTGTGCATGCTAGGCAAACACTCTACCAACTGAGCTATAACCCCAGCCCATACCACATTTTCTTTATCCATTCATCTGTTGAAGAGTATCTAGGTTGGTTTCATAGTTTTTAGCTATTGTGAATTGAGCTGCTATCAATATTGATGTGGCTGCATCATTGTAGAATGACAACTTTTAAGTCCTTTGAGTAAAAACGAAGGAGTGGGATAACCAGGTCAAATGGTGGTTCCATTCTAAGTTTTCTGAGGAATCTCTGTACTACTTTCCATAGTGGTTGCACCAGTTTGCAATCCTACAAGCAATGTATGAGTGTGCCTTTTTCCCCACATCCTCACCAACACTTATTGTTGCTTATATTCTTGATAGCTGCCATTCTGACTGGAGTGAGATGAAATCTTAGTGTAGTTTTGATTTGCATTTCTCTAATTGCTAGAGATGATGAACATTTTTTTGTATGCTTGTTGATTGGTCATATTTTTTTTCTTCTGTGAAGTGTCGGTTCAGTTCCTTAGCCCATTTATTGATTGGGTTGTTTGGCATTTTTGATGTTAAGTTTTTTGAGTTCTTTATATATCCTGGATATTAGTGCTCTCTCTGAGATGTGTGTGGTCGATTTTTCACCCATTTTGTAGGCTCTGTCTTCACATTATTGATTTTTCCTTTGCTGAGAAGAAGCTCTTATTCTTAAGCCAAGTTCACATTTTCCAGATTTGGAAGAAAAATTGGAGTTGAGAATCATGGTATGATACACAACTCAGTCCAGTGCAATTGGAATGTACTACAGATGTACCTAACAGGCATGGAGCTATTGTGTAAACCCTGCTGGGTGCTAGGCATATGTGTAGCTAATACTTCTTTACACCCAGTCATCTTATAGGTGGATAACCTGTCTTCAGTCATTTAGACAAATAACTGAACAAGGGATACATTTATAAATAAATGCTTTACTAACTAAGAAACTTTAACATTAGGTGGGGGAGTGCAGAATTTCAGTGATATTTAATAGTGTTTTACACAGTGGGGAAGGTAAGTTGTATGTGGTAGGAAAAAGCATGTTTCTATTGCTTGAGATGATTGATYCTTTATTTCCCTTCCATTCAAAATCTGTCTTTTCTTGGCTTTTTTCTCCTCAGATTTTAATCCTTAAAACCAAGGGGTTTGAAAGCTCATCCTTTATAATTTTCTGAAGTGGCTTATAGCCATCTCTTCATGCCTGTCAGTTATTCTAAGAGCATCACACCCATAGGCCTGTGCAAGCTGAGGCTGTTTCTAGACATTCCAGTGCCTTTGTGTGTGCGTGTCCTCACCAAGGAGGAAGAGTGATGGATTTTCCTTTTCTGCAGCATTTGCTCAGTGAACATGACCTGTCTTATTAAGTCCCTTCCCATGTTCTTGGTGTGAACTGGCCTGGGTAGCCCCGTGTCTTTCTCGATTAAATCCCCTTCAGAGGGAATTGCCTGACTTTTCCAGAGTATTGTCTGTTTCTCCACTTTTCCTCTGCTTCATGTGCTACCAAGCTCATTTGCTTTTCTTTGGGAGAATATAGAAGATAGTAGAGTTTTGGACTTGGTTGAAAGAACCTAGCAGTCTTCATTAAGGCCGCCCCCTTTTGTATGTGTTTGGTACTGGAGTTTAACCCAGGGTTCTCTACCACTGAGCTACATCCCCAGCCCTTTTTAATTTTTCTTTTGAGACAGGGTCTTGCCAAATTGCTGAAGCGGGAATCTAACTTGCAATCCTCTTGCCCCAGCCTCCTGAGTATGTGGCGTACGGGTGTGTGCCACTGTGCTCCGCAGGCTGCTACCTTTTCATAGATGAGATCTAGAAAGGTGCTAACATCACTTGGCTTCTGAGTAAAAACGGGGTCTGGAGCTCAGGTTTGCTGCCACCTCCCAATCCTGGGAGTTTTTCTCTTTTCCCTCACAAATTTTTGTATACACACGTTGCTGGAGATGCTTGAGAGRGGTACAAGATCAGAGTTCAAGACCCATGTATTGAGTGCAGCCCTTAGGATTAATAGGACAGTTACAATATCGTCCCAGTTTAAGCCATTGCTCCCACCACTGCCACCCTGAGGCCCACGTATACTCTTGTCACCATTTCAGCTTCCCCTTTAGATACTCCTTTCTACCCCCGTCACAGCCAGGCTGTATCTTTCCAACCAGAATCTCTGTGGCCTCAAATAACTGCTGGTCCTGGAAAAAGCCACCTTCGTTTCCCATTGCTACCTGCAAGTGCCTACATGACAAACCAGGTGCTGGGGCAGGCACCTGGCTGCCCTGGAGGCGTTCTCTTACAGAAACCAACTTGGCCAAGCACAGTCCCATCTCTTCCTTTTATGGTCTCAGTTCTTGCCCTTTAGCTCTGTTCTGTAGGTGGAGCAGCACTTGGCAGATCACCCAAGGCTGCCTGACCCAACAGGTTAGGGAAAGCAAACAAGTGAGTTAGGACCCGATTGGCAGCCAACAGTCTCCTCTGTGGTAGGTGCCGGCACTCTTGAGATACTTACCCTCATGGAACAAGAATTTCTGAATCTCAGGCCTTTGACTGGTGTCCCTGAAATAGAGGCAACCTGGGGATAAAACCACCTGGCAAAGAGATTTCATTTTTTCATGCTCATTCAAAGAGCATGTGTTACTGCCTTCTGATTTTTCACGAGACTGCTTGACCCAGAAGAATCTAAAGAATACCATGCCTACTATCTTTCTGCAGTACTTGGAACTTTGAAACTCAAGTCTTAATTTCCTAATACTCAGTATTGCTTGGCCCCACTTTAATGATTCTTCTCCCAGTCGATTCACTTGATTTCACTATGAGGCCCCCTTCCAGGACCTTCACAAATGCTGAGTGCCTGCTCTGAGGAAGCCTCTGACTGGTCCAGACAGAGAAGAACAAAGTTCCAAGTGCATAGTGTACAAGGAAACACTAACCTCAAACCCGCAGACGTGAACTCAATAGTTATGCAGAATCAATAGGATTGCTTTATTTACTTAAGTGGCTCCTTCTGCTAGCTTCTGGAGTATTCTCTGCATCTGAGTTGTTAAATATCAATTTAAAGCATATTATTTCCATAAATCACTAAATGTTAGCATTGTTAAATGCCAGTACTGAAGTTAGTGTCTGGTGATTTGTTTGTTGGCTCTTCTTTTGAGCCTTCAAATGGCACAAGCAGAGTATGTGGGAATTAACTCACCGTGAATCTTATTTTCATGTGTGGTTTATAAGGTCTGCCACTTTTGTTTATAATAATAACTAACATGTCCTAAGCAGCACAAAAACATACAAACAAAAATTAGCTCTCATTTCACCTCTGGACTCCAGTGTTTTCTTGAAGAGGAAACTACTTTATGGATGGTTTATGTTAGTTTTGTCTTGGAGACCTGTGTTATGTCATTAACTAACAGGAAATGACTTTCTCGTGTGTGTGTGTGTGTGTGTGTGTGTGTGTTTTACTATCTCATGTTCTCATGTGCAAGTTAATATTCATCTAGATATTTTAGCAAATTCTGACTTTCCCCCCAAATAATTTTTCCATTTTCTTGCAATGCTTGCTAGGCCAGGTATACCGCATAGAATCTAAAATTTAAGATAATTCCCTGACCCCTTTGGTGACAGTGAACCTGGGTGCAATTAGGTGCTTAATTGACAGGGGGGTTTCCACAACCTGCAGCAGGATTCTATTTTAACCCTGTTGGTGATTCTTTTTCTCTTAACCATGGTTTGCCATCTCTGAAGTGCTACCACTGTAAATTGTTGAACAGGCGTTTGTGTGTTTACAGAGTTTGTCACAGTGTCCCTGCAGGCTTCTCCTGGCCTCTGCCAGTGCCTTTGACTTCTGAACTTTGCTACCCGCTGGTGCTCACAGAACAAACAGCCATGTACTACTTCCTGTGGCATTTCAGTCATGGGTTTAGGCCTTGCTTACATACCTCATATAATACTCATCTCCTTATTAGGACCCACAAGATACATTTCCCCCATTTTCCCATAGTGAATGGTTACATTTCTGCTGATTTATTTGTATCTTATCCCTATAATTCCTTCTTTGTTTGGCTAATTAGAAATTCAGAACCCAATTTATAGCAAACTATGTTTGCTATAGAAATATAGTGTGAACCACATATTAATCTTAAATTTCTTTTTTTAAATAAAAAATGAAAAAAGAAAGCTAATGGCAATAATTTCAATAATTTTACTTGATACAAGATATCTCAAACTTCCATCAACCTGAAAACTGTTAAATTCTCTCTTGGCATCATGTCTTCAGAGTCACTTCTCATTTCAGACCAGCCACGTTCAAGTACAGGTGCTCCCTATGGGCTTACCGCCCAGCCTGCTGGCAGGAGCCTGCAGTGCTGTAAGAACTGATGGCCTTCAGAGAGTATGCACCTTCCCTTGGCTTTAATTCCTCTCCTCCACCCATATTTTCCCTTTATTTAATGTTCTCACTTCTGCRCACAAGACTAAAAACAAGTATCTTTGTAAGCCACCATGAATGAATCTATTTTGGAACAAGACAGTACATAAGTGAATAAAAGGGTTTTTCCAGAAGATTCTACGTAGGGCTGGTTGGAAGTACACACAACTAAAGGCACATGTGTTGGCAGAGGGGAGGGATTTTTATTTTTTATTTTTTGTTCTTTTGAGCAGGGCCGGGCTGTTTATTAATGTCTGGGTAGACCTTGAGCCTAAACATCTTAATTTATTAATTTTTCTTGGAGAAGTTCAGGGAAAGAGGAAGACACAGTGGTGAAAAACCAGTACCATGCACCGTCAGTTAATTTGAAGAATGTTGTTCTCTCTTAAGGCCTAAGAGGATTTGGGATTGGTTGAGGATTGTCCTAGATTGACTGGTGGTGACCCAGATTTCTAACTCCGTGAACTCAGTTGGGGAGTCCAGTTCTCTTTGTGTAGCAGAGTTCATTGAAGGACTCCTACTCATCACATCACTGCCACTCGCTGGAGAGAGCGTGGACTCCTCCTTTAGCCAGTCCAGTGGCAAGGAGGCCACTGTGAAGTCCTTATGTTAGACTTCTCGTAGGTAACATAGGTGTCCATGGTCACAAGTAGTACATGAGAACGTGGAGAAGGCTTCATGGTTGGCTCTGAAGACTTGTTCTTCTGATGATTAACSGTGTTTAGCACTTTAGTTGTAAAATGGGTGCTTTTGAATTACTTAAATCCTATAGTTAGGTTCCCTTTATTTCCATATTCCCACTAAAATCATATTTGTAGTCCTTCATTTTTTAGTCAGAATTTTTTGGGAAGATACAAATGTGTAATATGGGGTGGAGGAGAGCAAGATAAAGACAATATTAGGGATGGTGAGAGAATGGAGAGGGAAAAGACAGAATCCCCCAGTAACTATTTTTATTTTGTGAAATATCTGTATAATTCTTTCTGTGAGACATGTAGAGGATTTTATAGTCAGTTTCTTTTTCAGCATTTCTCTGTTCTTCATTAGGAGTAGGTTTTCAATATTCCACTCTGAATTTTATACATAAAATAAGTTGGTGGATGTAAGTGAATGGTTCTTTTGAAATAAGTGGGAGGGGCTTGATAAAATCATCCCTGTGTTGCTTGATGTGAATATGGCATGTTTTATTGATTCTTTACCTTTTTTTTTTTTTGGCACTACAGCCTCATGCATGCTAATTATTGAGTCTTTCAATATTTCGAAAAACATCAATGATGTGTTGAAGTCTGTTCTTGTTGTCATCTATTATTTTAGACTTCACCTACCTTTTTTTTTTTTTTTTTTGGTACCAGGGATTGAACTCAGGGGTGCTTAATCACTGAGCCACATCCCTGACCCTTTTTTATATTTTATTTAGAGACAGGGTCTTGCTGAATTGCTTAGGCCTTGCTAAGTTGCTGAGGCTGGCTTTGAACTCAAAATCCTTTTGCTTCAGGGCAAAAGCCACCAGGATCATAGAAGGTGTGTACCACTGTGCCCAGCAGATATCACCCCTTTCTGTGGAATTGGGAATAGTCTCTTTTGTGCAAAGTCTGTTTCAATACAATCCTCATCAAATTTAGATAATGTATCCTCTCTGCTCTCACCCATCACACGTGACCTTTTAAGTTCTAATGGGATTACTTTACACAGATGTCTCCACAAGTTGAATTATTCTCTTTGTTGCTTCTGTATTCTCTTTTCTGTTTTGTTGGTACAATTAACATTTGTAACGTTTTGCCTTGCTTGTTATATCTCCATTAATAGAGCGAAACAGAAAGAGACTGTGATAACAAAAAAATCAGACTGGAGAAAGAAGCCAAATCACAGTCCTCTTCATCCTCATCCTCCCACAAAGAATCTTCTAAAACAAAGTGAGTATGGAGATCCGATTAGGAACAGTACTTAAAAAAGGTGACCAACTCTTCTTGAGTCTTGGAAAGGCAAAAAAAAAAAAAAAAAAAAGTTTTCTGTGGTAGAACCAGTGGATTAATGAACTCATTCTGGCTATTTTGATGATGTGTTCCTCTCATCATGTGGGAATTGACAATTCAGCAGCAAATTTAGATTTAGCAGGAGCATTTTCAGTAAGGGAAATTTTCTAAATATATGGAATTGTGTTTTCTAAAGGGAAGTAAGAAAGGTGCTATTACTTTCCCTACTTTGCAGGGTGAGCAGTGGAGGCACAGAGGGAAAACAGTTCGATCAGAGGCACAGAATTTCTGCTGGGTGCTATAGCMAGTATTTAGACACCACGGGGAGCCTAGGTTCAGTGTTCTTTCTTTTAGAGATGAGTAAGAATCTGAAGGCCAACCAGCCTCTGTCACTAGGGAGACAGATGAGAATGGTAGTGCTAAGAAGGTGAATAAACAAAAAAGTAACTGAGATTTACTGATTTATTCAAGAAATTGCCTCACAGTGACTTGGCCAAAACAGATATAGAGTGCCATGATTGGGAGCCCACGGGGAGGTGGGAGAGGGAGAAGAAGGTGGCAGGCCTGGAGGCAGCCGTAGGGTTTGCCCTTCTGTTGGCCAGGGCAGGCTATAGGCTAGGGAGCCACTGAAAGGTAGGAACATCTGGGGTGAGTTAGGACCATTGTCATGATCAGCAAGCTAAGTGAAAAGTTATACAGCTTCATTTGTTATTAATGAATAGGGAAAGATTTCTCAAGGCATGAAAAGTCCCTTAAATTTTCTACAACATGATTTCATGCTCAGTAGCCCTGCAGTTTTTCATGCCAGCGGCCATTTTATCCTTTAAAATGAAACTAAGCTGTGTGATTTGTGTTCTGCCTCAGTTTAGTTTTGTGTGATGTTTCACTCCAGGACACCTAGGCCCTCCTCAGAGCCCGCAAAAAAGGAAATGCTTCCCCCTCCACCTGTGTCGTCCTCATCCTCGTCCTCCCAGAAACCAGCCAAGCCAGCACACAAGAGGTCAAGGCAAGAAGCAGACATTTGTGGCCACGACCCTCCCAAAAGTGCCAGTAGTACCAAGAGCAACCATAAAGACCCTTCTGTTTCAAAGCACAGAAAAGTACAGGGGAAAGGCTCTGGAAGCTCCGCTGAACACAAAGTAAGTAGGGAAGGTAGTAATTGTGCAAAATGGGATGTATTGGTGTGTCTGTGAGTTCTCAAAGTAAGTTCCTAATGATGGAACTTCAGAGCTGTGCCTCTGTTTTAATATGGCAATGATAAGTTCTCTTTAGAGTCATAATTTTGGGAGGGGGAATAATAGGTAGTTAATATTAAATGTTAAGGTCAATTTGTTCTTAGTAATTCAAAGGCAGAAAATTCAATAGGTTTTTGTACTAATTCTTTACCAGATATTTTGTAGCAAAAAAAAAAAAATGGTTACCCCAGTTCTTCCTTTGACTATTTGATCACAAATGTTTTGATTATTGGTTATAATGGGAAAAAAATTAACAGCTTTCTCAAACATTACTTCTTCCTATTAATCTGGTCCCTCTGTGTTTGTATTGACTAAGAGAAAATGTTCTCTTTGGCTCTGTGAATGACCTGTTCTTTGGGACTTACTTAACATTGTTTTGAGTTTACAACCAGAACCTAAAAGCTTCAGTTGCATCTGCAGCTGGAAAAGTGTGTGGCCCAGTTCACTTGTGCAGTGATTGACTTAAAATTTCTTTTTCAAACTACTGTTTTGGGATGCTTAAGAGGGATGTTCTTTTAGGACGTTGATCTTAGGGTTATAGTATAATTTGTCTCTGATTTTTTTTTAAAGGGATCTTCTGGAGACGCTGCAAATCCTTTTCCAGTGCCTTTTTTGCCAAATGGTAACTCTAAACCAGGGAAGCCTCAAGTGAAGTTTGACAAGTAAGAGTTCGGGTGCTTTCTTATTTTTCTTTCTCCTGGTTTCCCTCTCCTCTGCTTCTTCCCTTTCTCTTTACCTCTTGTCCTTCATTATTTACTTCATCTTCTTCCCTTTCTCCTCCTATCTTCTATCATCTCTCAGTTTTAAGTTACGTTACCCTCATCTAGTAATTTTAGGTTCCTGTGACCATCTCTGCTTTTTCCTCTTCTTTTTCAGACAGCAAGCTGATTTTCACATGAGGGAGGCCAAAAAGTTGAAGTGCAAAGCAGAGTCAATGGTCAGTCTTGGCTTTTATTCCCTTCGTTGAATGGGTTTTTTTATTATTAAAAAAAAAGAAGAAAGAAGAAGAAGAAGAAGAAATGAAGCCAGGCATGGTGGGCTTTAATTCCAGCTAATTAGGAGACTAAGGCAAGAGGGTTGCAAGTTCTAGGCCATCCTGGGCAACTTGGTGAGATCCTGTCTCAAAAAATGTCAAGAGGTGGGGATGCATGTTCAGTGGTAGAGAACCCAAGTTCAATCCCCAGAACCGGAATCGGGTGGGGGATGCTATAGTGTTTATGGTCTCTCTTTTACTACATTCTACATCATTAAACATGTGCATGGGGCATTTTGGGGTGGGAGTCACCAGGAGAAAGAAGTATATGGTCTTGCTATTGGTCATAATACAATCAGAAGAACCAGGATTTTAATGACCAAAGGATAGGGAGTTCAGTGGGATTATTTTCTTTGGTTCTGTTGATTCAGTATGATCATGGGCCAATTTACACATACTTAGTCATAAGTAGTCTATCTAAATGAATGAAAGTTGATCTACTTGGTGGTGATTTAATATATGAGTGAGTTTTTTTGTCCCATTGAGTCAATTCTTTGGATGTGAAAAATGAGTCCGGCTTTTGAAAGTCGGTCAATTTGTGCCCACCCTGACAGTTGACAAGGTGAGGAAGCCTGTTTGCATTCCAACATTACCTAAAATCCCTGCAAGACTGACCTGAAGGAATATTTGACYAAGGCCAGTAGATGAAAATTTGAGATAAAGGTGATGATTGTACTGTTGGTAAACATGCTTGAAGATGTGAACTCTCTTTACTAATTGGCCTATGGATTTTCTGGAAGGTGGTGGTTTGATGTTAATGATACATATATCATTAACTGAGTATGCTTTTACATCTTTACTGCAATATAATGAGATCATGTTTGCCCTTTGTCATATTTAAACACCCAAGACCCTATGGCTTTTATTTATTGAGCATGTCCCTCAAGCCTAAACCAAACTGCATGTGGCAGGGTCCACAGGAACCTGAATCTGGCCACTCTGCAGGAGTCATTCAGACCTTGGCTTGGTGCTCTCACCCTAGGCTGCAGATGAGCATCCATTCTCCTGCTCTCTAGAGGGGAAACAACTGAGACCTTTTAGCAGGTCCCATTGCTAAAGGGTCCCATTGCTAAAGGGTCCCATGCTGGATGCCATGAGGGTGCTCAGGACAAGATGCTCTGTCCCTATCCTACAGCACCCTGTGTCAGGATGACCTGAGTCAGACCATGGCTGCACCACACAATGGTGCTCTTTCAGCTGCCTCCTTACAGGAACTGTATGACTCTTGTGAGTTTTATAAAAGAGTAAATATTTAGCACTATTATCCAGTTATCTGAAACCTATCTTGACATTGGACATGTTCCACACTAGATTCCCTCATTCAAACAGTATTCCAGGTATTTGCTTGAATCCATACATAGGCATATCTTCTCTCTACAAAAGGCAGCCATACGACCCAGTGTTCCAGGACAGTCCTGCGTATCCCATTGCAGTAATTATACCCATTTTGCTCTCAAAGTCTGCCAGTTTGGACAATAACCTGTCTGGTCACCTTTTTCATAATATTCTGTCTTAATGGCATAATATCTCAAAGATGTGCACTTGGCATCCAGAGAGCTAAGAAGTGCTCAGCCGAGAGCAGGAGAGTGTATTTCATCTTTACGTGCACTTATCTTGTTGAGTAGGGAAATCAGAGCTGCACTGCTGTTGCCCTGTTTGGGGAGAGTGACCACAGGGATAATGCTTCTTAGCCTTGCAAAGTACTTGAGGAAGTCGATATTCCCTAATCAGCTTGTTAGCTGACAGTTTCATTTGCTTCTGCCCTAAGGCCAATATTAATTTCAGAAATTCCATGAAATAGATGGTTTTATGTAAGATAATTTTGAGAATTAGATTCCCATCAGTGAAGCAAATGAATGTGTCCTATCCTGCTCATTGAGGCATACTAATTTGACTTCTATTTTTTTTTTGGTCACTTATCTTCTGAGCCTTGGCTCTCTAGGAAAGAAATTTTGAAGCTGTTATTTTTAAAAGTTAAAATTTTTTAGAGCACTAAGATTGAGTGTTCTGAAGTATATGTCTGCATATAAACGTCTACGCATCTGTCACATGAAGTCGTGTTTCATATGTATGTCTGTGTAGCAACTCCATTTGTTCCACTGCTGGTTAGATACAGAACAGTATGTGCCCTGAGGGAAGCACACAGCAGTGCACTAAGGGGAAGAGCTGTTCCTGCTCTTGCCTGTGGTGTGTAACAGCAGCCGGTAAATTAAATAACACTCCTAAGCTACCTGATAGGTCACTGCCCTCATGTATTGCTATTTTAATTCTTTTTTAACATATCAAATTGAGAGCATTGGGGAAAACTACAGACTTGCAATTGTTAGCTGCTCTCAGTRTGTGGTGTGTATGCCACAGGTAGAGAAAAAGTGAGTTGCTTATCCCAGTGTCATTAGTTGAATTGGCTGTATGCCACTCAGAAGAACTTTAGGTGACAAAATATATATTTACTTTTAAGGTGGCCACAAGTATCTGATTTCATTTATATTTCTAATTTCTCTAATCCTTCAAAGGAACTTTGAAATTTTGTCCCTATTATCTCAGTACTTAATGTCCCTGATGCCTTGTACTAAATCTAGGTGCCAAAAGAGATTAATCTGTTGGGCTTTAAAATGCTTGAAGATTATTGTTAGGGATTATGTCTAAAATACTCCTAATCTATGATAAATGTATTCTACTTCAGGTAAACCTCAACATCTACCAAAGAAACTTGTGTCTGCCTTTCTTTAGATGTGTAGAATAACCTATTTCTCAAGAAAGTTATGTAATGAATAATTTTGTGTTAATAACAAGGAGTCTTGGTTTGTGTGCTTCCAGAAGGTTGTGAGAGAATAATCTTAATACAGATTTGTTTTCTTATTTCTAATGAATTTTTCCAAAAAAAGAGAAATTTTTTGGTTGGTTAGAGCTGACAGGCTTTAGTTATTTATCACTTTTAGTTGGTTTATTTTCATACTTTTTTTTTTCTGATGATTAAACCAAGACAGTGGAGGAAAGTTAAAGAATGTGGGAAAGGAACTAAATAAAGCCTGTCTCGGGCCTAACAGTGGCTGTGTTCTTCTACAGACGGACAAGGTTGGAAAGGCCTTCAAGTACTTGGAAGCCATCCTGTCCTTTATCGAGTGTGGGATTGCCATGGAGTCTGAGAGTCCRGCCTCCAAGTCGGCTTATTCAGTGTACTCAGAAACTGTAGATCTCATTAAGTAAGTGCCAAGTCACTTTGCTGTGTTCTCAAGTACTTCTCTTTCCTCACCTTTATTGCTTTAATCTTTCAACCTTAGCGTGAATACAGCTACAGTACAGGGGAGCCTTCAGGTCATGGGAGCTGGGGCTGCAGCTCAGTGTTAGAGCACTTGTTTGGCATGCGAGGCCCTGGGCTCCATCCCAGCACTGCCAAAAAGGTAAAACAATAAGAAGGTATTGGTCCAAGAGCTGAATTAAACTGTGTTCTAACTGAAGTGCTAGCACAGAATTTCTGAATCCAGCCATATCACTTTGCCAAGTGCACTGAGAAATGCTACACCTTGCAGGGACGGGGTGGTTTTTCCAGTTCAGCTTTCTTATCAGATGCCCTCTGGGCTCAGGTGTGTATTTACCTGCATTTCAACAGGGGACTTGGTGAGGGCACAACTGACTGCACTTGGTTTCAAGAGGCAGGAAACCATAGGTCCTGGTTTTCTGAATGGCCTCCATTGTTGCTCACTGTTTCTGTGTGGCTGTCATGATTTCATATCTTCAGGAAAAGTCAATACAAAGAGCACTAAAATACAGTTCCAAGATGCATCTGTGCCTGGGATTTTCATACTGTCTTTGTTTAACCTAGTATATGGTTTTGTCTCCCTATAGATTCGCAATGTCATTAAAATCATTCTCAGATGCCACAGCACCAACACAAGAGAAAATATTTGCTGTTTTATGGTGTGTATTTTTTTCTTTGTTAAATAGCACTAAATGTGTTTTTGTTTCTTTTGATATTAAAACATTTTGAAATTTGATTCCTTAACCTAATGCTAGTGAGTACTTGGTTGGGGTTAATCCCACTGATGATTACTGGGAAATGGCACCGAATGCTGTTTTACTGAAGACTTGGTAAATGCTTTGGTCTTGTGGTTTGAGCTGTATCTTTGCACATCTATGTCTTTATGCCAATATTGACTTTTGGCAATAGTCTGAACAGTGTAGATTCTTGAGGTATACAACCGGGAGCATACCCAGTGTGCTCATGAGACTTGGGTGCAACGGTTATTTTTCTGTGGTAGAGCTAGTCCTGTCGACAAGGTGATGCACATGTCACTTTAACTTCTGTTCTTTTTCACAGCATGCGTTGCCAGTCCCTTTTGAACATGGCAATGTTTCGTTGTAAAAAAGACGTAGCAATAAAGTATTCCCGTACTCTTAATGAACACTTCAAGAGTTCTTCCAAAGTGGCCCAGGCCCCTTCTCCATGCATTGCAAGGTAATTATAAATCTAATTTCAATAATTTACAAAATTAAGTCATTCTTAATTTACCTCTTTTGCAACTGTCTCCCTTTCCCCCTCCCCACCCCCCATGCGTGTGTGCGTGCACACACATACTCACTCTTTGGCTTTTCAAAACTGAATGCTTCATCTCTGTGCTGATTCRCTCCTTAAAGGTAAATTATTAGCATATTCCTGCCGTTTGAGAATTATTTATAAACCAATATTGAGGCAGATTGGTTAACATAAAAGGTACAGTAGTTCCCTCTTATCCTTGGTTGATACATTTCAAGACCCCCAGTGGATGCCTGAAACTGCAGATTAGTACCAAACACTCTGTATATACTATGCTTTTTCTTATACATATCTATAAAAGTTTAATTTGTAAATCAGGCACAGTAAGAGATTAGCAGTAAGGTCTGTGGGTGTGGCTCAGTGGTAGAACATTTGCCTAGTATGTGCTAGGCCCTGGGTTTGATCCCTAGCATGGCAACAACAAAGAATTAACAATATTAACTAATAATAGAATAATTACAACAACACATTGTAAATAGAAGCTATGTGAATGTGGTCTCTCTTTGGAGTCTAAGCAAGCCCATGGTTGACTGCAGTTAACTTCTGTGGAAAGCAAAATGGTGGATAAGAGGGGGTTAGAATAATTGCAAAGAACATAGAGTCTAAATTTTAGAGCTTTGAGGATCTTAGATATGCCTAAGAACACAAAACCATGAGGGCCAGAACCAGAGCCAATGTGCTTTCTCCTTCTGTGATGTATCTTCTTGATATTTCAATAAACAAGAACTTTCCAGAACTATATACCTTCCACTGTCTTCAGGACCCACACCAGTAATACCAGTGAAGCAATTATGTCTAGCAAAATTATTTCTCCCACTTTGTGAACTGCAATTGTTTATCTGCTGTAAAACATTGAAAAAAAGAATCGTGTTCACTTGCGTTTGTAAGATGAAGGTGGGTTGTTCTACCCTGTAGTCCTTGTCTAGTATTTTCTTTTTTAAAAAAAATTTGGTCATATTCCTTGAGAAGTTCCTAGTTCTGATAGGTTTTGCTATTTTAAGAGCATCACTTAGAAGACTGCCCGATTTCCAGAAATTCTAAAGAAGAGACTCCCATATGGCCTCTCTTAAAAAAGAGAAAGTCCTGGTTGAGAAGCAATTTCTTATTTATGAAAGCTTCACAACTCCCACTCTGAGATATTCTAAGCTAATAGGTTGTCAGTCACATTATTTTAGATAATTCCTGTGGCCATCTGCCCAGCCAGACCACCTAACCCCTGTAGCTGCTGTCGAAACAGCAGTAAACAAAGCAGACAAGAGTTGCTGCCTCAGGAAGCTCTCTCTCCAGTCCTTGAAAGTGTGTGTTCTGCCAGGCATGCTCAGGATCGTGCAGCCCACAGGGCAGATGTCACAGCGTGAAACTGCTGCTGCTGACCCCACCTTCCATCCTATATCCATTTACTTTTTATATCTGAGTGACTTCCCTGGTCTTTTCTCATTTGCTCCACGTTGAGGCACATGTTAACTGGCATGACCAGTTATTTAGCCAAGGGCAGAAAAAACAGTAAGATTGAGTTTCCCAGTGTGTGACACTCCCTGCCCATTTTCCTGCAGTCTACCCACAGCAGTTCATTTGTTGATTCTGTGGGATTCTACTCTTAGCACTTACTTGCCAGGCACTGGGGTGCATCCCAGCAACTTGAGAGGCTGAGGCAGGATCATAGGTTCAAAGCCAACCTAGCGAGACCTTGTCTCAAAAATAAAAAGGGCCGGGGGATAAGTGCCCCTGTGTTCAATCCCTAGTTACCAGCCCCCCTAATCCCTTACCCCTCCCTCAAAAAGCCATTTACTGTGTTAAGTGCTAGCTGTGGAAAGATTAATAAGACATGGTCTCTGCCTCCATGGTGCTGTGACCCAGATAAATGCAAAACAAAAGATAAGTTCAAAGTGGTGTATTGTATCTACAGTGATTAAAAGAGTATCAGATGCAGAGTAAGTGCTCAGTTTAGTGTTTCCTGAGGAGATGAAATGATGATGATGATGATGATGATGTGTGTGTGTGTATGTGGGGTCCTAGCATAAGTTGGAACTGGACATGGTAAGAAGGGATTCCTCCGTGGAAGAGGAGGTAGACTGTTCAAGGGCATGGGAAAGCATATTTGGAATACAGTTAGTGTGCCTAGGTCTTCTTCAACTGTATAGGAGTCACTTTAGCTATAGTTATTTTTTTGGTGGATGCACACTGAAACTTGGTGATGTAGACTGCAGTCTTCGAGATAGGAAACCTGCAATCTGGCAGGCTTTAACCATGTCTTTCTCTAACCTTCCAGAAGCACAGGCACACCATCCCCTCTGTCCCCAATGCCTTCTCCTGCCAGCTCTGCAGGGTCCCAGTCAAGTGCTGGCAGTATGGGGAGCAGTGGAATGACTGCCGCAATCAGTACTCCAGTCACCATCCAGAACATGACCTCTTCCTATGTCACCATCACGTCCCACGTCCTTACTGCCTTTGATCTTTGGGAACAGGCTGAAGTCCTTGCAAGGAAGAATAAAGGTAAAGGTCTCTGGGGTGGTGATTAGTGGGGGCATGGAGGTTGGGAGGAAATGGTGTTGGTTTGTAATCTATGTTCAGTTTCTTAAAGGAAAGGAGGACACGTGTAGCTGTTTCCCTTTTCATTTTCTCCATTTTGCCTTGTTACCTACTTGCAATTCTCCCTGGAACTTTGTGGCTTAGAGCTGGATTTCTGTAGCTAGATTAGCAAGACCAAATTAGCAGTGGTTTTAGCACCTTGCCCCTTCACAAGCTCTGCTGTTATCATTTCAGTCTGAACCAAAATGCTAGCAAAAGGGCAAAGCAAATAAAGAAAGTCACGGCTGTTCCTAGGCTCAACCCATTTAAGACGGGAAGTAGCACAATCCCAGTGCTGAGTTTGTTTTCAGTAGATGTTAAGAAAAACGGTCAGCTACAACAAGAGAAATATAGCATAGTAAACGGTCTTATGACTTGTTTGGGGAAGAAGGCCCTAGGAGTAATCCAGGGTTCAGGAGCAGTAGGACCTGTAGTAGAGGAACTGGTTGGCATCAGGCCAGCTACCACTAAGTAAATGCATACAGCAGCGAGCACCAGAACATGGCTGTGACTTCTCTCTCCCCGGCTAGAGAGTAGAAGGCAGCCAGCTGGCTGTAATCTCTACTTTTCCCCACAGCCTCTTAGAGCTTTATCTGTCTTAGTAAAATAATAATACTTTTAAGGTGGTTGGGGTTGTTTTTGTTTTTGCATCCATGCATCCATTGATGAAATGTATAAAATGGCTATTTTAAAACTGCTAGTCACTACCCTAGGCAGGTGTTATGCATCCAACTCTAAAGCAAACCTGGTTCGTGACCTTCTAGTCTAGAGGAGGGATGTGGAGAGGTAGCAGGCCATTACAGATTATGATTCTTTTTTTTTCTGAGATGAAATGCAGGGTATTGTGGGGGCATAGTTTCTGAACCTTGACTTTTTGTATTTCTATTTTAATTTGTGTGTGCGCATGTGTATTTACTAGTTTGGGGCTTTTTGTTTTTCTTTTTCCAGAATTCTTTGCTCAACTCAGCACAAAAGTATGCACCTTGGCCCTCAACAGCAGTCTGGTGGACCTGGTGCACTATATAAGACAGGGTTTTCAGCGGCTCAAACAAGTAACCAAAACACCTTAATGGAAACCCAAGTTGACTCCATGCCTTGGGGACTTTTTTTTTTTTTTTTTTGCACATTGGAAGCGTAAAAAACAGTCTCGACATTTGTCTCATCAGGATATCAAACTCAAGAAGAGAAGCAGCATAAGATGGCCAGGAGGTTTGTCCACATAAACTCTCAAGAGTCGTGTTTTCATTGGGTGGACACTATGGTTACACAGAAGCAGAGATGGAGGTCAGCCCCAGAGATGATCTTGCCTTTCCTAACTACAGAATAAAAGTGCAATGTAGCCTAATGGGCATGAGAATGGTCTAGAAACATTTCTGTGGTCTTTTGTTTTTGTTTTTTAACCAGTAGGATGGATGTAAGCTGCAAGTGAAATGAGGAACAGTTTCRATTCTGAAAGCAAATTCACATCATCTCAGTAGCCATACTAAGTCCATTCACAGAAGAAAATTTTTTTAAACATTGATTTTTGGTGAAGGGTTTTGTGGATGATTTGTTTTAAAAAATTTAAGTTCTGAGGGAAACTTAACAGATTCTAATGGCCATCTGTAAAATGTTGTGAAGGACTCCACTGTACCCCACTTTCTGCCAGTGAACAGTGACTTTGATAATACCAAGTATTGTCATAATGTATGAAACTGAAGGCAACCCCCTCCCATTGCCCTGTGTACTGCGCGTTCACCCCAGCTCGGATTCTTGATTGTGCTGAAATGCAACCCACAATCCACGTCACGCAACGGAGGAAGAACAAGTGCGCATGGGAGCCACCTTGAGAGTCACTTGAGGCCGACTCCTGGAGGACTTGGCGCTGCCATCCCCACTCTTGTTTCCTTGAAGGGTTCTAGCTAACAAGGTAGTCACCATTGATCGAATTCTGTATTTCCTAACTTGGGGAAGAAGGGAACAACATTTATACCTGACCAGATGGCTAACGTGCTTTTTGATTCTTGTTTTAAGTAGAGATGGAATTTGAGGTGCTGATCGGTGGTCGACAGCTATGTGGTAACTCATGTCTAACCAATTCAGTTTTGTCAGTGAAGAAAAACGATATCTACTTCTTAGAGAGGCTATATTTTTCTGCTACAAATTATTTTATATTTATAGCAAAACTAAACTTTGTGAGCCCTTGATTGCCTAGGGGAAATTGACTCCCTGAGAGAATGTGGAGATGTGGGGATTAAGTAGATTTTTAAAAAAATTGTCACCACATGCCTTCACTCCAGAGTGTTCTCAGACAACTGGATTTGAATAGGTTGAAGGGGGAACTGTGGCCTTCCCCTAAGTTAATGTCATACTGTCTGCATTAAACCAGGTTCGTTTTGAATGGCCTAAAATGAAAAAACACAATCAGAATTCCCACATGCCCGCAAGCACAGATTGCTTTTTGAAATTTTGAAGGTTGTTATTGGAAATACTCTTTTGAGTGCAGTGTTTTTAAAAGCCAGTTCTTTTTATCCCTTTTAGAAAGTAGAATTTGCTCATGTGTTAAAATTGAGGAGTGAGCTTCATCTGTGCAACTAATTGGTTTCCTTTTCTCCCGTTAGCCTGTTCTGCACCTCTACACGTTGTTCCCTACCAAGCACGTTTCATGTTTTTTGTATTTATTAGTGAAGGGAGAACCATCTTTATTTATAGTGAAGATGCCCAAGGTCTCTCTGATGAATACTAGGACTTTCTGGTTTCATAAACATGTAAAGGGATGTGTAGATGCTGGAGCCATGGCTGACTTTTCAGTTTAAATTGTGTGAAGCTGCCCCCTGGTCTGTCCTCCAGCCTGTTCTTTGATTGCTAACTAGGTTAAAGCCAGAGAATGACAGTGGAGTTAATATCTGAGCGTTAAACCTTGATGTGTGATGTGTGATCCTGATGAAGCAGTTTCCTTTACTGATGTTCTGAAGCAAAGCTATTGTTTTTTTAAACTACTAGAGAGCCTGTTGTTAAATGGACAGTAATTGCCTGGTAGGTTGTAAGGCCTGCCATTGTGTTTGCTCCTTGTATGGAGGGGACAAGGCACTAGAATCAGCGAGATCACTTACAATCCTTCTGTCTTAACTCCCCTTCCCCGTCTGCTGTGTCAAGCCACCTGTCAATGGTGAAGGGTTCTGTTCTTTATGACAGGTTCTGATCTATGCGGGTTGTACCAGAGCATGTGTGAGTCTGTGGGCAAGCCAACATGCTCCCTTGACTGAAGACATTCCCAAGTGGATTTCTCAGCCAAGTGTAACAGATTGCTTTTTCAGTGGCCTTATTCTTTGTGGGTTTTTTTCCTCCCTGAAATCTATATTAAAATTTTATTTGTCCCTTGGAAAAAATAATGAATCTGGGTAGATCAATTTGTACTACTTTGATCATTGGATATTTCTGATTCTTACTGCAACAGTCCTTATACCTAACAGAGAATTCCTGATGACTACCTTTTTAATAGAGTATGTAAAAGGTAGTGTCTGATGAGTCCTTAATGTTCATAAGCCCTTTTTGCTGTTACAGTTGTATATAGAAATCTGAAGGATTTTTAAACCATTTGCACTTTTTCACTGCATGCTTATAATTCCCAAAGGCAAAAATTTGTACTGAGGTAGATCTTTCAAGAGGATTAGATTATAAAATTAAGCCTTTGTATATGTGAAGTTCTCATGACAACAGTGATAGTGCACACTTCACAGTGAGAAAAATAGAAAAAAATAATCTTAATGAAAACAGTAAATCTTGCCTTTGCCACTACAGGTGTGTGTGTGTGTGTGTGTGTGTGTGTGTGTGTGTGTGTGTGNGAGAGAGAGAGAGAGAGAGAGAGAGAGAGAGAGAGAGAATGAATAAGAATGTGGAAGAATACTGCTTTATTTTAAACGAATTGTTCAATATTTCTGCCCTTCTGAAGATAGTGAAAATGTGAATCAACAAATCTTGGAGCCCTATTAAATAATGAAAAAGACTTTTCTGAAATCTACCAGATTATACTTGGGGTTAAGATTATGAATATACAAATGACATGGTAGCAGTGGTACAGTATGAGAGGGTTCAGCATGCAGTAATCAGGAATAAACAATAGGATAATTTGTTTGATATCATAATTTGATAACAATATTAAATGAGAAAAGCAACTTATTTTTTAAACAAAAAGATCTTTTTTTAAAGATCTGTTTTAGCCAAAATGTATAGCTACTTCCTTTAGACACATTGGACATTTACCTCCTTTATTCTTTACTCTTTAGTTCTAGATCTTGGGATGTTCAGAAGCTAATCTACTCTCTTTCTAGCTGAAAACTTGCCTTACCTGGTACCTTACATATTAATGTTAGTAGGAGCAGGAGGTTAGTCTTGATCCCACTTTTTAAAGCAAAAAGAAAACCACTGTGTTCTCTACAACTGCTATCTCTGATGTGCAAAAGAATATGTAATCTGTACACAAATAGAGAACAAGAGCTGATTCAGTTGTATATATTTATTGTGCCCTTGTTGACCAAACCTAATTTTGAAATAATGTTGTTTTGCCACAGCTTCAAGGTGTGTTACATGGGTCGTCTTATATCTATCTTCTGCTTTATGAAGTTTGAAGTTTATTTGTGCATATTAAGATAAATGAGTTGGTTTTATTTAGCATACTTTTAAATTCTTCCATGCCTTGTACCAGATTCTTTATTTTTTTCTTAACGATTTATTTTCCCTGACACTACAAAATACCTTTGAAAATTTTTTATCATTTCTTCTGAGACACTCTTTCCCACTGAGTAGCAGGATTTAAATTTTCCAAGACTATTTTGGGCTTCTGGTAGAAACACAGAAGTGTAGATTTTCTTACTGAAAAGTGAGTACACATTGCAGCTGTGAAGAGATGGCCAGGATTGATTATGGTGGTGCTTGCCCCCACCCTTTCTCTTGTGGATTGCCTCTTCTGGTTTTTTCCCACTGGGAAATAATGGGTATAAGGTATTTTTTTTTCTGTGCCTTTATTATTTGTTTTCATGGGGAGAAGTATAATGGCAGAATAGCATGGTGCTGAGGGTCTTCCTTCACACATTACAAGTGGTATTTCTGCCATGTAGTCAGTCCTCCAGTCCACAACCCAGTTATGTTGGTTTCTTGGTGGCTGAGGATGCACATCTCTTTGTGAATTGTGAGCACTAGTCATGTTCTTTAGTTCTTATTTATGATGCGTTGATCAGCACCATCTACTACTTTTCTTGAGGTGACTGTATGTTTCTTATTGTTTTGAGGGAAATCACACTTTATCCTGTCGCTGTGAGTCAGACATTATTAGGTACCATGCTGAGTAGATGTGCCCTTACTTCTACCTAAGGGGATGTCTCAGAGGGCAGGAAGGAAACCCTGCAGCTCCTCATAAGCCTATATGGAAATATATAGGCCCGGGAGGACACGGGAATAAGACCACTGACATCAAGGCTGGCCAAGCTGCACTGTCCAACCAGGTAGTGGCCAACCTAAAGGAGATGACTTGCTTTGCTTAAAAGTAGATATTTAAGCAATGCTCCTCACAGGCAGTATTAAGTTTGCCTTCTGTTCAGGCCATGACATGTATTGTTAAGCTCACTGCACATCCTCCCTTCAGACATCAAGTATACACTGTTCATGTTGGTGTGTGTGTGTGTGTGTGTGTGTGTGTGTGTGTGTGTGTCCCAAATCTTGTTTAAAAAAAATTTTTTTTTTCCCGAATGTGATCATGTTTGGATGTTATCTGAGCAGGGTTGCTTTTTTTTATTTATTACCATTATATATTATATTATATTATATATATTTGCTTTCTTATAACTTTAGAAAAGTCAAATCTTGGTGTTAAATTGTTTAAATGAATAATTTTTCCAGTTGATAAATGAAAATCACTGGGCTATCTTTAAAGTAATAAGTTTTTCTTTAATTTCTGTGGAATAATGTGCCAGCTCTTGTCAACACGACAACTTTGTATGTAGGATAGAAAAGCAGCGATGCTCTCAATGGGAAGATGTGCAACACAAATAAGGGGAACTCCACATATTTTATCTACTTCAGCAATGGAACTGCAACTTGGGGCTTTTGTGAATAAAAGTTAGATGCCTTGTATAGTCCTTTGAAAGAGACATATGTGATCTCTGAGAGAATTATAGTTTTTTTTTAGAGGAAAAATTTGCAAAAGATCTTTCCAAAGATAATGTGCCACAGATCTTTTGTTTGCTGTTCTCTGTAATGAGGATTAAGTGCTGTTTTAAAAAAAATGTAATTGATCTGTTCTTTAAATTCTTTCCTTTTCACAAGAGGATCGAGCTGTTGAAAAAATTAATAAAAATTTAGAGAAATCATTGGAGTTGAATCCTTGCTTTTACTACTTTGCCTGAATAAGGTAATTCTTAAAATTGCTATATGATATTGCGTCTGTGGCCAGAGTGTTTCACAGGGAATAGTGTGCTCTCTCCTTCACAGTACTTATTGCTTTTTGGGAGGATGTATATGTGGTCAGAAGGTAGCTTATTCTTCTGTTGAGTTTATTCTCAAAAGCATAAGCACATACAAATTAACCCACTGGGGCTTATCCTGACATCAGGGGCCAGGTACATCAATAACCAAGTTTGCCTCTTTTCAAATTGTTGGGTAAACAGGTTTGTAGAATGTTGGTATTGAATCTAAAGTCTATCTGGTTTTTTTCCTCCCTTTACCCACCCTAAAGAAATCGTACTTCAGTATGGGCCATTAATCTCTGCTAGATGACACTTTTCACAAAAACTTTCCATGTAATGTCTTAGGGAACTGTAAATCTGAATAAAAGTTGTCTGGGTATGGTCATACCAATTTATTTAACCAGCCACATGGGTAGGACTGAGACTATTTCTATTCTAAGACTATTATAAAGAATGTTCCCTGGCCATCAAATTTGGTCAAATTTTAAACTATTTCCTTGGAATAAACTCCTAGAAGTGGGTTGTGGGGTGAAGATACATTTTCTCCACACTTTATTTTGAAAAATTTCCAGCATATACAGAAAAGCAGAATAAGTAATAATGTTTACATATATACCGCCACCTAGATTTAACAATATTTTACCTTGATTTTTAATGTAACTATGTATATTGGTGCTGAATAAGTAAGCTGAAGACATTTCTCCCCTTTAAAAATTCAGCATATATTTGTTTGAACACTTTCCAGTGTAACCACTGTATCTTTACAGCGTAAGAAAACTTTTCAATCTCTTATAGATTCATATTCAAATTTCTCCAGTTGCCCTCAAAGTGACTTGTAGCTTAATTTTTGAACATGGATTCAGCCATGTTTTGTGTATTACATTTGGTTATCATGTCTCTTTAGTCTGAAAACAGTTCTTGCCTCTCCCTTTTTAGTGTGATGTCCCACTTCCTGGATTTGTTTCCCCAAAGCATCCCCTTAATTCATTCCTTTATCTCCTATAGACTAGTTAGGTCTAGAAGCTTGATTGTATTTCACAAGAATCCTTCACAGGAGATGCTGTGCTTTATGCTGGGTGGAATCCAGAGTTATCAAACAAGGTTTTTCTAGTAGTGATGCTGTCCCTTGCTGATCCAGAGTCACTGGAAGCTGAGAAATGTGTTTCACAGGCTTTTATTGTCAAGTTGCTTGAGAAAATTTCTTAAGTTTTCAGAGTATGTTTCCTTCATTCCTGGGTATTGTTTGGAAAATGGAAAGGGAAAACACTGAATTTGATAGGTGGAAAACGATGTTCCTGGTGTTTATTTTTAGTGCGTGGGTTATTTTACCATTATTCTAGATGCAGTTTGAAGAAGCCCATCTTGGCAGATACGGAGAAAGTTGTTTTTACCTAAATCATATAGAGAATGAGTTATAGGAAGCATTAATGGAGGAGGAAGGTGATGCTGAGCAGTAAACATACAGATGATTCATGCAGGCTAAAGGGAGATAATTTTTAATTTTCATATTCAGGATTTTGATTTTAATTAGCTTATGTATTTCTCTCCAGATATTTTCAGCTTTTATTGCTTTTGACAGTTTTTGAATTTTTAGGTAGGCAGACTTCTACCAGTGTCTGTGGTTTCTGCTGTTGGTGTTTCAATGAGGTAAGTGAAGGATCTTGGTCACTTGTGTAAGAGTTTTACTGCCGCTGAATACTGTGAGGTAAGTAATACTCTCCCTTTGTGTCTTTCTCAGCCTTTTTATTGGAAGAGTTTAGGCATTCTTTGTGCCTGCATTTGCCTAATACTTGCCAGGGTTGTTGGAAATTTAAATTGTCACAATCCAGGATACTTGTAATAGTCATCTCCTGGGTATTTAGAATCCTCAATTCCACTACTCCAAACAACTTTGAAGCCCAATGGATCTTTACCAGAACATAATCGGGGGTTTATACATTGTTACTTTGGTTGTGATTAGGTAACTGTACCGTCTGGCCTGTCTAAGGAACAGGACTCTCCAGCATTTGTGGTTTTCCGGTAGACCGCACTCAGCTGAAAGTAAGACTTCAGCTAGACACTAAGGCTCTGATAATAGAGGCCTTTGCCCTTCTTTCAGACTAGAGGGCAAACCTTGAAATACTTTCCAAACAGACAATTCTATTTTAACTTTAAAAGACCACGTACCTACTCTGGATAAGTGCTTTGAGTCACCCCTCTATATTACTGGGCCCAATCCTAACATCTCTTTTACCTTATTTCATGTGTAGGAGGAAGAAACAATTATGGATTTATATATCTCCACTGCTAAGTATTTCTGTAAATTATAAGCAACAACATACACCAAAAACAAAAAAACAGATGCACATGCACATCTTTTTCTACATGTACTCACACTAATGGACATGGAAAACTGACTAAAGAAAAATGCCTGTAATTGACTTTAGTTGCAAGTGAGGAGTCTTGAGCGGTGTGGCTTGATGGAGTGGGTTTGTAGTGGCTCCACAGACACAGCACTGAAGGAATCTGATGCACACACCTTTTGGTATTTTTTCTTCTTGGTACTGGGGATTGAGCCCAGGGATGCTTTACCAYTGAGCTATATCTTCAGCTCCCCCTTTTGGAGACATGGTCTTGCTAAGTTGCTGATACTAGTCTCAAACTCTGAAATCTTCTTGCCTCAGCCACCCAAGTTACAGGGATTACAGGCATGGCTGTAGAGTCTTGGAAACAGGATAAATTCCTGTAGGATAGATTCCTGAAAGGGCAATTTCTGAGTCAAAGCACAAGCCAAATTTTAAAAACTTAATGTTACCAAACTACCTTCTGCACCATGGATGAATTTAACATTATTTGCATCCCTTTGATGACAAATGAAGTTGACTGTTTTGTCATAAATTTATAGCCCCCCCCCCAATGGAGCTGGGAATCAAATTCAGGCCTAATGCATGCTAGGCAAGCGCTCTTTCATGGAGCTATAGCCCCAGCCTTTGGCCATTTATTTTCTGATCCTATGGAATGCCTGTGTACTTAGCTCTTTTTCTATGAGATTTGCACCAAATTTCAACCAATTATTAGATTAAGAATGTTACACCAGCTTGACTGCCTACCACCCACTGCAGACTTCCACCTAAGATGCATACAACAGTTCCATATTTTCCCCAAATCCTATAGGTAGTAGTAATAAGCAATCCCCAAGTTAAAACTTTCATGCATGTCACTGCTTTAGGGTCTTCACTTAAATCGTACTACATTTTCAAGGAAATGACATTCATTCTGGATAAGATGGATTCAGATTAAACCAGCAATTTTGGTAAGTTTGGGGTATGTGTGTATTGCTGGATTTTGAACTCAGGACTTCACACATGCTAGGCAAATGGTCTACCCCTGAGTTTATCTCCAGCCCGAAACTGACTATTGTGAAACCCCACTGGATGTAAATTAATTTCAGCATAGTCATCTGTCTCAGAGATAGAAAATCCATTATTAAATGTCAATCCTGAGCTTTACTTGGATGTTTATACATTTGCTTATTTTGAATGAAGTTTAAAAAGTAAGGGAAGATTGGTTACTTGTCCTTGAATGGACTTACATCTATTCAATCATCTGACTGATTCCTTTGTATGAAGTGACATGCTTCAGGCTTATGTGGGCATAAAGCATTGCTCAGGATGCCCAGCTTCTGGATGGCATGTCATCCAGCTTCAGATCAGGTGTTGTGCTATTCAGAGAGCCATTTTCTCTGCTTGACACCCTTCATCTATTTACACAGATGTCACTATTCCAAAGCTACCACCTTGTGTATTGAGTTATTTCAAACCTGACAGTACGGCCTAAGTCAGTTTTTTCTGCTAGGAAGAGGACAGTACCCCTTCTGTGCCTCTATTTGTCCTGAATTCCCTATGGCACAAACCTGATCAAAAAAGTAAAAATATGGAAAAGAGGGAAGGAGTGTATGGTACTCTCCATAGTTTATATTTGAGTCATTTTCATGCTTTATGATGAAATTTGAGTCCAAAGTATGTTATTTTTYCCCTGGTTAAGTAACAAAAAGGTGATGCTGATTATGATACATAATAGTTCATCAACTAAAAAAGGATAATTCTGCCCAAAACAACTCATCAGATTTGGATCTAAATTTTTCAAAAGTACTTTTTAAGCTGGGGCATAAGCCTGTAGCCCTGACTACTTGGGAGGCAGGCAGACCACTTGAGCCTAGGATTTCAGGCCAGAATGGGCAACATAGAGAGAGAAA